TTAATTCAATTTTAATTATCGCGACTTTAAACAATAATAATGTGATGTGTTCATTTGTGACAAAGTTCTAACTAAAATAATCTACTTACGCAATTATGAGTAAATTAAATAAACTAAATGCAAATTACTTTGAATGCAAGTTGATGTGTTTTGATGGATGATAAGCACACCAGGATCTGGAATTTCCATGTAATAATCTTTATTTAACCTTAGTTTTATATTTTAACAATACGATGGAATTTTGAAGAATCAATATCCCTATTTTATTCAACAATCTCTCTCTCGAGTAATGTTAAACATACGTTCATCTATGATCCGACGATATTTCTATGACGGATGCGAAGATACGAGAATTCATGAACTTTATGAACGTTTAAAAATTCATATAGAGTATAACGGTATATTTCTATCACTTATTGGACCCTACGACAATTTACACTATGTTGAGTTTATTTTCCTTCTTTCAAATGCACATAATAAGCCATCAAATTCATACAACTATCGTGTACAATAATTATAGAGAAAATATAATTATGTAAATCGTTCAAAATTTAAAAACGTGCTTTCAATGTCAAATATGTAAAACTAAATATTAAAAACTCATATTATAAGGTTCATTGTTCTCCTAGTGTAAAGAAATTTAGTCTAACATGATATTGAGAAGAAAACAAGAATTATATAGAGTAGACATCACCCAAATTATGAATTTTGATTGAATCTTGATGCCTAGTAATCTCTCTTGATATTTCTTGCTATCTTCTATGCTCTCCAATGAGTTCTAATGCGTCCTTTTTGCAATTAATTATCTACCTTAATTATGTATTGATAGTTGGTATGCATAGTACTCTTCAAGAGGTTCCAAAATTCTCTAGAATTCGTGCAAATAATGGCCCAAAAGGAAGAATCACGATTGAAGTAAAATTCACAACGAAAAAAAGTTTATGAGTGTGTTTGCCTTGGCGGGCGCCCAATATAAAGTCATGCAGCTGCCCGACACCAATTTTTTCCTCTGTTTTTGTTTTCCAACACCGAGCGGCTGCCCAGTCCATGTAACTGGGTGGCCGCACAAGTTAAAATTACTTTTTGCAATTTAGTTATATTCTTCATTATTTCCTCGATTTTGATCCTCCACTTTAAATTACTTTTATTTCGGTCGTTCAACTTATTCCAATTTGCATATTAATCCCAAACCTTCCATCCAATCATCAATTCATCCCCATTTCTTTTCCAACTGCTTGTGGACATGTCAAAAACTGAAACAAGATAAAATTAAATCAAGTTAAGTAAAATTCAATACTTTAACGACATAAAAAGTTTAGTAATATGACCCAAATAAGTATACAAAATGCACTTATCAGTGTCTAATTTAATTATAGGAATTGATTACCAAGTAACTGTAGTATTTATGATATTGGGCAATTTTTGTTAAAATTTGAAGAATATATATAAAGTTCAAGTAATTGTAGTATTTTATGATTTTGAGCATTTTTTTAAAAAAATTGAAAAATATGTATAAAGCTTAATGAATACATTATTTTATTAATTAATTAATTTATAAAGCTTAATAATATTACAAATATTCTCGATCGAAATGCATTACGCATTTTAGAACCTTGACTAAGATAGTCGATGTGATGCATCGCCTCAATCGAGATGTCATGTAGAGGTTGACCTTACATGGTCTATGCGAGGCACTATACCCTGCTACATAGTAAATTCTAAGCAATTAACCTTTTAATGTAAAAATGCATCTCTTACTTCACCTATTTCAAGAGATTTTTCATACAAGATCTTCATATGATTGATTGGTGCAACAACCTTGCAGCACACGTCTCAGTAAATTTGTTAGTCTACTTTTTCAGATATCAAACTTAGGCTATATGGTAACTACTTTTTACAAACATTAAATGCCATTGAACCCATAACTGATGGAGAGACATCGATAAGAAGACGTCTCGATCGTCGGATGAGGCCACATGTTTTTTCATCCGACGGTAATTATTTCTCATTTTCTACTGTAAAAAATCACATTTAGTATCATTTGAAAGTGATGAAATTTTACATTTTAGATAGTAATATTGCTTACATTATTCTTCTCTCTATACTCTATACACACGTTGCTCTTACACAATTGTGGCTCATATCTTCCATTCTTCTCGCTCCCAAATTTACCTATACAAGTTGAATGATTTGAACATTGGAGTGCTCGCAGCTGCCTCCTCCACCTCTGAAAAAGGCCACGTTCTTCTAATGATTTATCTAAGTGTGTGGGAGATATACCACATGGATGTGAGTAGAATCAATATCCGTTGACCACTTCATCCATGCAAAAATTGAGGTCAACGATAACATCTACAATAAACTCTGCAGAAGTGATATATTCTTTTACTTAAAGAATAAAATTAGTGATGAGAAAAAATTTCGCTCTGACGTACCTTTGGATTGTCCTCCGCTCTAAATAGTAAATGTGATGGGATGAGAATCATGGTCTCGCCCAAAAATTCCC